CCGGGGCGATTTCAGTGATCGCGAAACTAAGAAGATCGAGACCAGTCAAGGGCATGACTGGTAGTTCTAGTGTGAAATTCTCTCGTGGCCACCGAACACGGTTGTGCCCGACGAGACGAGACGTCAATCAACACATTTTCATCTCTCTCTCTCTTCCTCTCTCTCTCTCTCTCTCTCTCACTCTCTCTCATTGTACGCTTGTCTCTGTCTTGTCTGTCGCTCTGTGTGTCTGTGTGGCTGTGTGAATTTCTCTATGTAACTTACGTGTATTTCATATTAAAAATATACATTAAAATGTATGTACAATATATCGTTAACGTACACCATTCAACAAGTTCCCTACCTTTAGAGGTATCGCTACGTATATGTTCATTTTTCTCTCTCTGGTAAGTGTGTGACTGTCTCCGTGTCTGTATTAATCTGTGTGTACGTGTGTGTGTGTGTGTGTGTGTGTGTTTTACAGTAAAATAGATCGGTAAGCAAATGTAATCCTTGCCCTACGCTTTCCGCATCACGAATGCTATTCACTTCGCGAGACCGAGTGCCGGTGGATCGAGGATCAACAACGCAGACCACTCTCTCAGACAGTTTCGCCGCGCGACCGGAAACAAACCCATTAACAGCGTCGCTTGATATTATATACGCTTCGCGCAACTAGACTGCGGATTGTCACGCGTTCCAACTTGCACATTCAAATCACTCGAACTCCGGAGCAAGATTAAATAACTCGATTGCGGTGGAACGTCGACTGAAATCGATTGAAATCGACAGGAATTCATCGGGAATTCGTTATTTTCGTGTCATCAACCCCTTGGCCACAATATTCCGCTTCGAAATATCCGACGCTAATTCTAATTCGACGATTACAGGTTTCGCTAGTCGCATGTTATATAAACGCGATTATTTTAGATCGATTTCAGTTAGTTGAATTCGGTGTTTTCCTGGCTCGAATACGTTTCTCAGCCAAGGGGTTGACGGTTTTCTTTTCTCGCTCGTGGACGTTGGAACGGGACAACTGAGATAAGGATAAAGGACACGCGAGAATCCGCAGTGCGACCGTTCACGTGAAAACGAGCCAACGATCTCCTCGTTCGTGGAAAAATAGAACTTCTGAGTCGTGCGAGGAACTGTTCTATCGAGTCCGTACGGAATAATGGTTGAACTGGTTAGCTACTCCCTCTGATTTCGATGATTTCTTTATAATTTTCTGCTTCGCAAGAATGGTGAACTAATTTCGATATTCACGGGGAACTGCTGGTGCAAACACGTTCGAATTATTGAAAGGAAACTATCACTACCAGATAAATCATCGTTTATACTTTCGTTTCGAGTAAAGTTTAAGTTGCTCACCTACGTTTATCGTTAGATAACAAGATCGGTATCAGTGAGGCTGGTTTCTCAACGATGAGGAATCATTTTTTGGTAATCGCCAAATATCCGAGGAACTATGGGAGTCAACTTTCGAAGAGGAAAAACTCGTTGAAAATATGGAATCCGCGTCGTGTTTCGCAATCATGAAAATCGGCGAGGGAGTGGTCAACTTAAGGTCTAAAAGCTGTAAGATTCGGTACGCTCGCGTATATTAGCGCGTTATCGTCGATCGAACGGAGATCACTCGTAGAAGTGATACGAAAGTGATTTTTGTTTGTGCAGAAACAGAACCGCGATCGTCGTGAGCGATCGTCGTGAACGATCGTCGGACAGATCGCGCGGCGGTGACTTAGAAACTCCTCTGAGAAACGGTCTTACAATATTAGGTAGTTAACAATATAATTAACAGTAATTATATCATTAAAACGATCCACCTGTCGCAGACTAAGAAGTATCTGGAACCAATATGCAAAGTATCGCAGATTATCTCTTTCAAGGATTGAATTTCAGGCGTGTACACTTAAATTCAGATATATAATATATATAGATAATATATATATATATATATATAATATCAGTTCAAATACAATAAATTTTGCATCAATAGGAAAAATGTTTTAATAACTAGTGGAGACATGTATATATATATATATATTTATACTTTTTTCTCGTTTAATACATTAAATCTTACTTTTTTTCGTTATGAAAAATAACAATTTCTTTATACTTTTTTTCCTCCTTTGATAAAAAAGTGTGTTGGCTAAGAGATTGCACTTCGTGATCATCTTAAAAATTTGTGATTAATTATATTAGTGACTATACACAATTGTATCTTATGTTTCTCGCGTATACACCGATTGTTCGTACAGTCATCAGATACGTTTCTCTAATATACGTTAGTAAAGAACAAATGTTTTCCAACTCGACGAAGATTATACGGACTCTCTCCCTCCTTTTCCGTCGTTCTTCTTCCTCTCTCTCGCAACGCAACGCGCGCGAGCGAGCGCGCGCGTATACGCGTGTATAACCTTCGGTTACGATATAATTAAAGACTTGACTTGCCGGTGTTGTCGTCGGCCAATCCTCGGGAGAGACCTTCGCGAAACAATCTTTAACATTTCATTACCTAATTGTAACGCGTGCACGCACGATAGAAATTCATTCTAATCCTATTACCCGCTTCTTTCCCCGAACCCAACCGCGGTTTCCCCTTGTTCCCCCGTGTATTTCGCTTCTCTTCGTTTCCCTTTTCCATAACTTTCCAACCCGACGACCGGTTCAACGACCGGTCGAACGATTAGCCTCAGTTAGTTGCCCTTTCGCCTTCGTTCGGCCGAAGTCGCTTCGATCCGACGCGTTCACTGCCGAATCGGTGTTCGTCCAACTATCCTGCAGCCGAGATAATCATCTCGACCGAACGGAAATCGAGAAGTTTCCATTCCCCGCGCCCAGAACCACCGAGCAATCCAAATTCTCGCACGAAAGCTACAAGGGTCCGCCTATCGAGACTCCGAATCGCTTGTATTCCAATTTGCCTCCCACTAGATCAATTTCTTTGGTAATTTATCGGTGAACCGCGTGTTATCTTTTCAACAATTGCACAGCAAACATTCGGAAATTGATCGTTTTCGTTCGTCCGGTAGTTCCAGCGTTATACGCGCCCCGAGATCTGCGCGAAACGACAGTCAAAGCGTTGATCGCAAACTCCCCTGGCATCTGTGTTTTTGTACGTTTTGCACCCAAAAACCAGCCGGTCAACGGTTCAAATGGTTCGTTTCTTTTCTATTTACAAGTACGATACACTCTCGTCGACTGGGAGACGCGCGCGCGCGCGCGCGCACGCTCGCTTATGCGTCCACAGTGAGACCCCGTTTAACGTTAGCCCGATCAACGCCGATTTCGACGACGAATTTGGTTTTCCTCGTTATTAAGGCTGCAGCCGATAATCATTTGCTTATCGATGATGTCGATAATTTCAACAATCTTCCGAATTTCGCCTTCGGATGGACAGGAACGCGCAGGGCGCCGGTGCGAACGTTGTTTTCTTTGTTTTCCAATAATGTTCCGGTACTCGTACCGCATGGTTCTACTTCGACTAGCCATGTAAACTGAAATTTATCGTTATCATTAAGTCTAGCGTTAATCGGAGCATCGCTGTATCTTCGTGGTGGTCATGCCCGCGTCAGCGGCCGCGCGCGCGCGCGGACAACGTAGGCAAGTCACCTGAAAGGAGGGCCACAAATGGTGCCAGGCACTATTTATTCATATACCGTTCGTGTATTCCATTAATTACGTTTAATTACGCTATGATGTACGAAATACGGTAGTCGAGAGCAGCTCGCGCGCCAGGATACCATCCCGAGACCGAGTGAAGCATAGGCTGAGACCATCCCGAAGCGGTTTAACCACGATCAAGACAACAACAACACCTCTCCGCGTGCGCGCGTGTATGTCTCTCTCCCTCTGTGTGTATGTGTTTGAGTGTGTTCTGTGTGTGGTCGTGTATCGTTTGTATTTCTCTAATTGCAACCCTGTCCCGCCGGAATCTCGCGGATTCGATTTTCGAGCGCGTTCTTGTTATCCTTCGCTCGTTCCGAAGTCGACGAGAGAGAGAATTTTCCTTTGTGTCCCGACGACGTGGCGTAGAATTCTTATCATACTCTGGTTCCCGTTTCCGATCGGTACAACTTGTTCCGCGGTAATATGCGTGATCGTGTGCCTGGACAAGGGTCAAGCGTGTGTGTCGTTGTGTGTGATTGTTAGGCTTGAAGGGTTGCAAAAGTTTCATCCTCTCGTTCCCGTTTTACGTCTTATTTCCTCTTTCATATCAAATGTGCAAAATACTTGTGAAAAATGTATATATAACGTATCGTATGTATACAGATGCGAGTTTGCGTGTATATACCTTTACTCTTTATCCTCCGTTAATAATCAACGCTATATATAATATATGCTTATCTCGCGTACAATGTTCGCGTGTATCTTCTCTCGTCTATTACCTCGCGACAATCGAATATATTAACATTTTTTTCTTTATCAGTTTTAGATCGTGTCCCGCGGCGGGAGCTCAA